GCACCTCGGCTCGGCTCTGCACGGCACGGGGCGGCGGGCAGGGCGCAGCCTCCGACCCCGCAACCCGCAGGGGAGCGGCCGCAGGGCGGCGGGGCCGGGGCCGGGCGCGGCGGGGCGGGGGCGGCGGGCGCGTGGCCGCGCCGGCGGCGGGAGCACCCTCAGAGCCTGAAGGAGGCTTCGGAGAACGGGTGCTGCATCTTGAAGCTAGACAAGAAGCACTGCAGGGGCGGGGGCAGGGGGTTGAGGAGGGACGGCGGGAGGCTGGGGAAAAAGAAATCATCTCCTCTGACCTCTAGCGAAGTGCCAGGTTTTTTCTTAAGCTCTTCACATTTCCTAAATTTGCAGATCTGGTGTCCCGTTTTGCGGTTCCTGCAACTGCTGCAGACTCCACAGTTGATGAGCCGCTTGCAGGGCACGCACACCCCGCAGCGTTTCCGCTTCTTCTTGGCGGGGTTGCCCGCCCCGGCCCCGGCCCCGGCGCCTCCTCCTCCGCCGCCACCACCTCCGCCACCACCGCCGGCCCCCCCGCCGCCGCCGCCGCCGCCTCCTCCTCCGCCGCCCCCCGCGCCGGCGGCGGCGCCCAGGGCGGAGGCGGGGGCGGCCGAGGCGTGGCTCTGCGGGCAGTCCGCCAGGTTGGCGATCTGGAAGGCGCTGTCTGTGACGGCGGCCGAAGCCGCGGCGGGGGAGTGCAGGGCCGTCATGACGATGACCCCGGGTGGCAGCGAGAGGCCGCCCAGCGCCGGGATGGCCGAGAAGGTGCCGACGCGCTCGGGGAGGTTCATGATGTCGGCTTCGGCGGCGCCGCACTTGAGCTTGTTCATGCACTCGCCCGCCAGTGGCCGGCAGTGCTCGGGGGCCAAGCCGGAGAGGAAGTTGCCGTTGGCCATGGGCAGCGCGGGCTGCTCGGCCGGCGCGCAGCCGGGCTTGCCCAGGCGCTGCGAGTCGCTCCGGTGGTGCATGCCGCCCCTGCCGGCGTGCAGCGAGGAGGCGGCGGCGGCCGCGGAGGCGGCGGCGACGGCGGCGGAGGAGGAGGAGGAGGAGGGCTTCCTCGCGCCGCCCGCCGCGCCGCCGCCGCCGCCGCCGCTGCCCCAGAGCATGGCGGTGGCGGCGGCGGCGGTGGCGGTGTCGCAGTTCCAGGGGGACATGCCGATGCGGGCGGCGGCGGCGGCGGCGGCGCTGGGGAAGATGGGGGTGGTGATGCGCGCGATCTTGGCCGCCTGCGGGAAGGCGCCGCCGTTGGTCTTGTAGAAGGTGGCGAAGGAGCGGTACCTCTCCATCTCCGAGTTGTAATCCACAAGGCTGTTGAGGGCCCCCTCGGGCAGGTGGCTGTCCTTGGGCAGCCCCGGCGCCTCGGGGTTGGGGCCGCTCTCCACGCACACGTTGGTGTTCATGGTGGCGGCGAGCGGGTGGGGGTCGGGGGGAGCTCAGTCCCACGCGGGGCGCGTCCCCGGCGACGCCGAGCGGCCGGCCGGCTTGGCCTGCCGCATCCTCACGGGAGCTGAAAGACACAAAGTGG